GCCACATCCCCCCCACCCCCAACCCCTCCCCCTCCTCCGCCGCCGCCGACATCAAGCCCGTCTTCATCTCCAAGGCTGAGCGCGAGAAACTCGCCCTCCAGCGCCGCCAGCAGGACGCCGGCGAGCAGAAGCGCCTCTCCGTCGAGCACCTACACTCTCTTTCCCGACCTAAACTCCCCTCTGACGCCGACGAACTCGAGCTAGAAAAGAGCGACCGTGATCGAGACCGCAGCAATCGCGACCGAGATCGAGACCGGGATCGCGATCATGACCGCAACGATCGAGACCGAGACCGGGACCGAGATCGGGACCGAGATCGGGACCGAGATCATGACCGCGGCGAACGAGACCGAGATCGCCGAAACCGAGATCGGGATCGGGAGCGAGCCCGGGAGGACGACTCCAGATCTAGAGAGCGGGCTCGGCTCGAGAAGCAAGTGGAACGCGAGAGGGAAAAGGAACTTGAAGCTATCAAAGAGCAGTACCTTGGATCGAAAAAACCTAAGAAGCGCGTTATCAAACCTAGTGAAAAGTTTAGGTTTTCCTTCGATTGGGAGAACACTGAGGACACTTCTAGAGACATGAATTCTTTGTACCAAAACCCTCATGAAGCTCGTCTTTTATTTGGCCGAGGGTTTCTTGCTGGAATCGATCGCCGAGAGCAGAAGAAGCAAGCGGTGAAGCATGAGAAAGAGACACGTGATGAAATTCGAAGGAAAGAGGGGAGGTTAGAGGAGCGGCCTGAGGAGGCTGCAGCTCAACGGCAAAAGGAAGCAGCGGCTGATCTTTATGATGCTTTTGATATGAGAGTTGATCGACATTGGACAGAGAAGAAACTTGAAGAGATGAGTGAACGCGATTGGAGAATTTTCAGAGAAGATTTCAACATTTCATACAAAGGGTCGAGGATTCCAAGGCCAATGAGGAACTGGGCTGAGAGTAAATTGGGTTCTGAGCTTTTGAAAGCAGTTGAGAAAGCTGGGTATAAAACCCCATCCCCAATTCAGATGGCAGCAATTCCTCTTGGATTGCAGCAGAGAGATGTGATTGGGATTGCAGAAACTGGGTCTGGAAAAACTGCAGCTTTTGTGTTGCCAATGCTTACTTATATCTCTAGGCTCCCTCCGATGAGTGAGGAGAATGAAGCTGAAGGACCTTATGCTGTTGTTATGGCACCTACCAGAGAGTTAGCTCAACAGATTGAGGACGAAACCGTGAAATTCGCGCATTATTTAGGGTTCAAGGTGGTTTCAATTGTCGGGGGTCAGTCTATTGAGGAACAAGGGTTTAAGATTCGGCAAGGGTGCGAGGTTGTGATCGCTACTCCTGGTAGGCTTCTTGATTGCTTGGAGCGTCGGTATGCTGTACTCAATCAGTGCAACTATGTTGTTCTCGATGAAGCTGATAGGATGATTGATATGGGTTTTGAGCCGCAGGTTACTGGGGTTTTAGATGCAATGCCTTCCAGCAATTTGAAACCCGAGAATGAGGATGAAGAGCTTGATGAGAAAAGAATTTATCGAACAACTTATATGTTTAGTGCTACAATGCCACCAGCTGTTGAGAGGCTAGCAAGAAAGTACTTGAGAAACCCAGTTGTCGTTACTATTGGTACTGCAGGAAAAACTACAGATCTCATTACTCAACACGTAATCATGCTGAAGGAGAGTGAAAAGTTCTCAAGGCTTCAAAAACTGTTGAATGATCTCGGTGATAAAACAGCCATTGTTTTCTGCAACACTAAGAAATCTGCAGATGCTCGAGCCAAAGATTTAGACAAAACTGGCTATAGAGTTACAACACTCCATGGGGGGAAATCTCAGGAGCAGAGGGAGATAAGTCTCGAAGGGTTTAGAAACAAGAGGTTCAATGTGCTTGTGGCTACTGATGTGGCCGGTCGTGGTATTGATATTCCTGATGTTGCTCATGTTATAAACTATGAGATGCCGAATAGTATTGATATGTACACTCATAGAATTGGAAGAACCGGGAGAGCTGGAAAAACTGGAGTTGCGACGACTTTCTTGACTTTGCATGATACTGATGTGTTTTATGATTTGAAGCAGATGCTTATACAGAGTAATAGTTTGGTGCCTCCGGAGCTGGCAAGGCATGAGGCTTCAAAGTTTAAACCAGGGAGTATTCCTGATCGACCGCCGAGGAGGAATGATACTGTGTTTGCACACTGAGGAACTAAGGGGATGGCCTTGTTTCTTGATTTGACTTTGCGAGATGTTAATCTTTAAGGTAGTTATGTTTCTTTTTAAGGGTTTAGTAGGAAGAAGAATTGTGCCCCGTATCAAGGTGGGCTTTTTAAGGATATTGTAGTCTCTATTTTGCAGTGATCTATATGGATTTTTGTTTGAAATTCTGGGCGTGATGCTGAATTGCTGTTAATTTTTTGCTAGATATTTGCATGTTATGATGATTAATGTTTAGATGGAATACAAAAAATTGTCACCGAGTGTTGTTACCTTCAAATACTCTGCCCTTGTGATTGATTTCCTAATGCTTTGAGCTAGAAGGTTCAGAAAGCAATCAGTATAAACATGTATGTATGCTTTAAAGTGCGTGTGTATTGTGTATTTTAACTGATTTCTGTAACCTACACAAGATATCTAGAGAGAGACTATCCAAGAACTGATATGAGAAACATTAAGACCAAGTACAGAAAAATAAACCATCAAACACCAAAGCCACATACATCACAATTTCCCTAATCATATACTCTTGTATTGTTATCAATTATCAACAGTATGTCCACAACACAGGCATGCTCCATCTTCTTGTTTTCTTTTTTTAACTGATTATATACAAATGGCTAGCATCCTAGATACTAACAAACACAATACCATAGAATTCAACATCCTAGGCTTTTCAACATCCGCCACTCGCAGGTTCGATCGAGCTCAAGAGTCCATTGCCTCTCAACTGCGTGCAGTGCTCCTCTGCATCGGCTTGTGCACAAATGATGACCACAGCTAGACCGTTGTGGTGAGCCTCTTGCATGATGTTGACTGCGTTGTCTAGGGTCATTCCGGGTATGACCTTCATTAGGACTTGCACGACATATTCGCGCTTGTTGAAGTTGTCGTTGTGCAGCATCACACGATATGGGGGCGACATTTTCCTAGATTTCCTGCAAAATCAAAAGAAGATATGTACGTAGCCCTAGAATGTTAATGGCATAGATGCTATTATGGATCAGATTTCGAATGATTTCTGATAGAACTAATAGAAAGTGATTTAAAAGTTACATTACATCAACACAATATAATTCTTCTTTCACGATCTTGAACTTTTGGCGTGGCTGACGGGTATCAAATACCAATCATGTCCAGCAAAAGAGAGGGCTTGTGCAATGACATATCCATTTGTTTTATCTGGAAGGAGTGAATCAATTTATCTTTAACAGACGAACCGACAATTTAATGGAAATCATCCACAATTCAAGCAAACTTATTGAATTTTGGATTGGGCATTTTCTTAAGAAAGTGTCATTTTGTGCTCTTCGTCTACCTCTCGGTATCTTCTTCTGCATGCTCCTCTTTCACTTTTATAAAATGTACGGGCTAAATGGAACGTCGAGAGGAAACAAAAGAAACACATGAGATAACTGTAATCGCTGGGGTGTAGATCGTTCTAGAACGACAAAATTTTAGTAACTGTAATGTTACATAGAACCGTGATTGCAACATTGGGAGGTAAAGGATTACAAAATACTTTTATAAATGTTACATAAAACAGTTATTGCACATCGGGAGGTAAAGTATTTAGAAAATGTTAATCTTATTGAGTCTCAGGAATTACTATCGTCTATCAGTATGGTCACTTTTATATGACATTTAACATTATAATTCTTTACCTGTCAGTGGTACAAAACATTATGTTTTTTTTCAAGGCATCTAGTAGGTCACAAATCAGTTGTAATATGGTAATTCAAATACGACTGATTACTCTGGTACCGAAAACTTCCAGGGTGAACAATCACTAAAATTTATTATTGATTTTAAACCTGCTGTCAACCCTCTACATTGCTATAAATCCTATAACACCAGGTAGTAATTAGCGAAACCTGCATTATCTGTCATACAAGGAGCAATATCAATGTTACAAGTAGGCTGAGTTGGTTAGGAAGAAAAGAGAGGAATTACATTCAAATTTAATTCCTCTTCCAAATATGATATCCAACTACCATAATATGTCTTCTCCCCTTCAGCTCATATTTCTTACAAAATTGTCAATAACAATTCACGACTAATCAGTGTTCTAAGAGAAAGAGGAAGACATTTAAATATTATGAAGCTCTGGACTCTAGAGTTGATAATCCACACGGAGACACGCATTTGGGGAGAGAATCTCTATCAAAAACCAACACAAATTAGTCAACCAATTCCTCTCTCATATATTAGCATTTTGGATAATGGTCTACATTGAAAGAACTCATGAAAGGATTATGAACTATATGCTAAAGCATGGTTCATATATGAACAATACAACATCTCTGTCGAAGATGCAACTATGCACAATTAAACAGACCATAAAGATCTACATATTACCCAAATAATGCTACACCAAGAAATCCTGAACTCCTATGTCTTGCTAGTGAAATTACAGAACAAAATTTTGAGGGTGTCCTGAGGTGCCAGCAACCAAGTTCTGTTGAGTCTAACAGAAATTTGTGCAATTAAGCATTATACACAACACCATTAAAATGAGAAAGCTAAAAACCCTTTCATGTTTATCATCAGCTAGACAACACAACTACTGAAATAACGAGGGGAAAAAGTGACTTCCATTTAAGACTTTTACCTCAAATCAAACTCAGATTCACGTCCAGGAGTAGTAGTCTCTACTGTTGGCCTTTCCAATAATCCACCTCCCTTCCCAGCTCCAGCAGCTGATACTGTTCTAGGAACACCACGAGCCATATATTGTCCTTTGTATAAGAGCACTTTATCCCCTGATATGGATGACGAAGAATTATCAGCTATAATGTATTAAGATATTCAGAAGGATAAAATGTAAAGACTGGCCCTAAAAATGAAGACTTCAGGCGAAAATTATAGACAATCCAAGGAGAAGAATAAGCAGTGATCATTAGATAAGAGTTAAAATTCACAATTGTTCCTCTCTTGATAAGGATTCTAAAAAAGAAATTGTAAACGTGTTCACAGGATTTGAGTATTGCACTACAAGTAGCATTAAGGCGATTCTTCAACTGTCTTTCATGAGCAAATGCCTAAGACTCCTATGGGAACTGATAAAGAACCTCTTTCCAGGAGAAAAATGTACAGATTCTAAGCGTGTTTGGTAAAACACAAGAATTTTCCTTCACAAGCGGTAAATATCTGAATATTATAACACAGTTGCTTCACAAGTTGAGTTCATAAACTGACGACAAATGGATCATGCTCACATGTTATGGGGAAATAAATTACTCTTATCTTTATAAATAGGTGGAAAAAAAGCCAACTGAAATTTACTATCTCAATGATATGTATATGTTTGTATGGTCTCAAACATAATGCAGACATATTCTGCTCTAACTTTGCACACACTAGCTCTTTCATGAATAGTTATAGCTATACACATATTACCCTAATAGAGGACATTGATCCATCATAAACCCTATAAAAATAAAAATAAAGTAAAATACTGAAGAAGTAAGGTGATCGAAAAGTAAACTTGGCTGCATTTGACTTTCTCTGTCTCTGTTAGCTTATTCAGGGACTGATTGCGCAAGATGAATATCATTGTCTTCAGAGTTGCAATCATATCTAATATACTCAAAACTGTTAACACGATGGAAATCCTCGATTGACAATGCTAGAAGTTATCACAGTCCACATGAAGGAAAGCTAGAGAATAATGAATAAAGATATTGAGCACTTGATTCCGGTGAGACTTTTGTTGGCTAGATAAGTTTTCAGAATGTTATAATCAAGCTATACATGCATTAGACGACACAAGGAAGATCGCGCTACTCAGTATGTTGCAATCATCTTTTATTCTATATTTTTACCCTTTTAGTTTAAAAACATTATATTCTCTTCCTTTTCCTTGACATCTCCTGCATAATGCAATAACTTAGCATGAAAGTGTTTGCACAAATTCTTGAAGAAAAATGATCTTCTGTCCAGATAACCTAATCGCTAAACCCCTCTTTTGTCCTAGATGGCTAGATATTATCCCATGTTTACCAAACTATTGTACAACAGAAGTAATATAAACAGTAAATCAATATTATATGAAATCATATCCTATAAAAAGAACTATCCAAAGCACAATCAATTAATTACCACAACTAATACTAGATAAAAAATTTAACCGTAAGCAAGCATTCATACCTGTGTCTCTTAATGAATTCAGCTTAAAAAAATTCAAAAATCTCTCTCAAAAAGCAGCTCCAATTCAAAAGGTTGGGTATAATCATAAACCCACAAAAACCCATTTCCAATCTGATCTCAATTGCGAGGAAACAAGTCAAAGAATCGTGAATTTGGGGAAATGGGTTACCTGATTTGGAGTTTATAACATGATTTGGGGAGAGAGCAATTCGACTGTACATGGCTGAATCCATCGCCCTTCAGCTGCTTCTCCTCTTCGTGCTCGAGAGAGGGGATGCCCACAAATAATAAATAAAAAAATTATTTTTTTGGGGTGAATAAAAATGAGGTAGCTTTTTTCTGGTTATTTTGCGCACACAAAATTTTCCTGGCCGTTATTAGCCGTCCATTTGTGGAGGCTCATCATCTTCTTGGCTCCTAAAGATTTTAATAATTTTGTAGATCTTTTCAAAGAAATTGTGAGCGTGACCGCCCTGCTGAAGAAAATTGTGAAAAAGGATAAAAAGATTTGTGTAGATGGGCTTGGGTCGGGCCACGGGCGTTCGGATTCAAACAACTGCATAAGAACTGGGCCTTTTCATAAGAACTGGGCTTGGAACGTACCATAACCCGCCACGCATTAGTTTTATCGAGAAGGTGGGCGAGCTGGTCCGTGCAGTAGTGGGTCCCACCGAGAGTGCAGGACAGGATGCAATCGGCGTGGGCCCCACCGCGGCCCAACTAGAAGGCAGATGAGGCGTGGAAAAGAAAGCCGTTCGCATTGAAGTTTGTGATATTGCATACCAGTCGTTAAATGATGGAAATTGAAGAGATTGCAATATTTATATTTTCGGATAAATTTTTAGAACAGTCCCATTTACAAAAAAATTCTCAAAAAACGATTACATTTGAAAATAATTGTCAAAGCCGATCCAGTTTCAGCTATCAAACTAAAACTAGATCAGTTTTGACGAAAAAAACTTTAAAACTTCACGCGACTTCAAGTCCCGTAAAGTTTCAAAGTTTTTTTCGTCAAAACCGACCCAATTTCAACACGACAGCTGAAACTAGGTGGATTTTGACAATTATTTTCTAATAAGGTCGTTTTTTACGATTAGTTTTCAAAATGAGACTATTTTGAAAATTTTCCTTATATTTTCAGGTACTACATGAGCTAAATCTCAGAGAAGCAGATAGTACGGTAATAAAAATATGAGCTTTGCTACAGGCACCCAAAATATGGGACCAATAAATGGGACAAGTGAGGTGTCCCCCTCCTATTGCATAATGAGTTGGCCATCATTAATGATGACCAACTTATTATCCAATAGGAGGGAGACACCTCACTTGTCCCCCCTATTGGTCCCATATTTTGGGTCCTTAAAGAATTTTTTTAAAAATATCTCCATATATCCCGCAAAATATCAAATAAAACCTCCACGCTCCCCCAAAAAGATAACTTCCTCTGTTCAATTTTCAAATCGATCGGTTGTTCCAAGGAAGCAGCAATCCCCAATCAAAATCAAACAAGAGACGCGAAAAGGGAAATAAAAAGAAAAAACGAAAAAAGCGGGGGGAAATGTCGCGGAGGAAGGCGATGACTTGGTCGGCGGTGGCGAAATCGACGCAGGCGCTGGCGGCCCACGGCCTCCTCCTGTGCTTCACCTTCTTCGTCGCTCTCAAGGTCGGCGACCGTACGGCCTTCTCCTGGTGGCCCCCCCCCCAAAAAAAAAAAATAATAATAATAATAAATAAATAAATAATAATAATTTCGAAACCCTTTCGCGTCTCAACCCTTGTGCGCGTGAATCTGGGGGGCTACACGGTCGATTTGATGCTATCTTCGTCAATTGGTTTGTGATCTCAGCCCTAATTTTCACTGAACTTCCGATCTCCACTGAAAATGCAGGGTCGTCTTCGCCCCCCTCTGGCTGTTTCACGCGGCCGTTGCCCGAGGGAGGTTCTCGCT